ATTTTATGATTATGATTTTGTAATTTTTCCTTTGTATAAAATGAAACTCATACATTTTTAGAACATTGAGAAGAAATCAGAAATAAAATTACTTACAATCTTCATGGGTTTTATAAATATTTAGCAGTTGTTCTGGACGTTTTGTTCTTAATTCAATTATTCAGATTGATTTTTAATCTATTAAATTTTTTAATGAATACAAGTTTCTGTATCAATTAGATAAAAATTCTTTTATATTTTGGGCGGATCTAATTTTAACTTCAATCATATTTGCTCCCAATGAAGAAAAGGCCTTCTCATCTTACTAGGCAGAAAACGTGTCTCACCGAATACAAAAAAAAGCAACCCTTTATTTCTGACACCCTCCGGGTGGAAATTGAGCTTCGGAGAGGGCGAAAATAATGGCTCGGACGCGATGAAAAAGCGAGAGAGCTGCCAATTAAAACCTTTTCCGCACCCTCCCTTTCGTAATTGAGTCGCAAACAAGGCAATCAAGGCCTCTTTTCTCGCCGATAATTGCTCAGGGGTCCAATTATCGCGCTCGGCGGCACAATTCGATGCTTTCTCCGTCACAGAATGTTTGCCAAAACAATAAATATAAATGCAGCGCCAAAGTTGATAAATATAAAATCAGGACGTCATTTCCATTGTGAAGAAGGCAAGGCCGGCCAAGGTTACTTCTTGGCTGAATTCAAATTTCCGTGGAGCGGCGTAGCTGCGGCCAAATTTAAATTGGCATTGATTTGTCGCTGCGACGGTCTCTGATCTAATAGCGCTTCGAGAGGTGCCGCTTGAAATAATCTGCTGCCCGCCCCGACATTCATTTTTGGCCCGAGCCCTCTTTCGTTTGCCTTCACCGCCACGTGCAAATTGAGATCAAATTTGAAGGGAAAAAGATGCTGCTTTTTTAAACATGCACGGGGAAAAGGCTTCAATAGAGTTGAAGAGGGGCTTCTTTGGCTTTTTTTGTGTGGAAAATATTATGTGAGAGAGGAAACCCTTTAAAGTGTATTTGAATGTTGAGTGAAAATAAAGAGAAGGTAGAAACGTGACTGAGATTATTTAACATGCTCAGAAGAGTATCTTTTTCTTTTTTAATATTGCTACCAACATGTAAGATTTTGAAGAGGAAGTATTCTTTGAACGGTTTCAAATGAAAATGCTGAGTCAGGTGTGAGTGATTAAAAATTGAAATAGTAATAAAAACTTTAAAAAATTCAGAACAATATAATTGAATAATAATTTTAAATTTAAATCTGAAATTTGTATTCAAGAAGGTTAAACGGGAAATAATTTTTTTTTCACTGAAATTTTGAAACAATCCAAACAATCTAAAGCAGAAATGGGTAAGGGAGCCTGATCTTTTTTTTAGAAAACATTTTATTGTTTCGGAAAAAAATGAACGCAATTAATTTTTCTGAAATTTTAATCATTACCAGGTGAAATTCCTCATTTTTTTTCCTGTAAGATTATTTAAATAAGTTAAATAAAGCCGTTTCATTGTGCGTCTTCTATATTAATATTATTCTAAAAATTGCTATGCTTGCTGTGAAATTAATTTTAGATATTTGCAAAAATATAAAAACAAATAATTTCCATAGGCGTTGAGCTTTTGTATTTAATTTAAAAAAATTATATAATATTACATTTCCATTTATTTTGAATGAATTGGTGCGCGTGTTTTTTATTCGAGTATTTAAGCGTCCTTTAAATTGAAGGTGTAGATATGAACAAAAATTTATTACACTGATTTCTCAAACTGTTCGCTTCAATTTTGCAAATTTAGTTGATATTGTTGAATTAAAGTTCACTCGTGCTTGAAAACTGACTTTCATTTATTCTTTTTTTGTATAAATTTGCTCCAAATAAACTTCAGTCCTATTGGTTGCAATTAAGTTTCTTCTTGATCAACCTTTTCCTGGACAGATAATTCGTATTTAATGAGACAGCAGGCGCTAAATTTCGCAAGTAAGCTCAATTTTTTTCCATCCACTTGGCAAACAAAGTTGCGAATTCTCGGTATCTGGCGGTCGGATCATCGCGCCGATTTCGAACGAAAGGGTTAAAAGCGTTCGAGAGCGTAATGAGAAAAATGAACTGCTCTTGGCACTGGTCGGACGGTTGAAAAGAGGGTGCACCACTAAATCAAACATTCCGAGAAAGAAAAAGGGGCTGTTTTTGTTTGGAGCTCGGCGCGAGATTAATTTAAATTCAAGGCGGGCCGAAATCGGAGCGACACGTCAGGCATTTGACCGGTCGGCACGTACGCCGGGCCGACGGACACGTGCGCGCTCCGATTTGGCACCGGGACCCATTTCTCGATCCCGGCGCAAGACCACGTGACTTGGCCCCGGACACTTTACGAGCGGTGACGTGCCGGCCAGCAGCGTCTGCAGTTTCGCTTCGCACGCCGTTTATTTTCGCCGACTCGCATTTTATATTTGTTTTTTTTTTCGCTTCGCTTTGCTGCTGGAGTTTGCAACTTTAGCGGGTCGATTCATTTTTGCGGAATTTGCGTTTGGCGCCGCCGTTCATGAAAATCGACAGCTTTCTGCAACTGTGCGAGTTTTCTTTTGCGTGTTATTTTTATTTTGATGTTATGTGTGTCGCAAAACGACCGACGAGGCTCATTCTTGGCGCAAAGTTCGCAAAGTTGTCAACGAGGCTGCTGCGCCAACAGGGTTGCCAGGACGATTCCGTGAAAATTATTGCGCCTTTAATAAAATGAAAATAATTAAAAATATTCTAAAGAAGAAGAATTTTCTTTGTCATTGTTTTAAAACAAATTTAAAAAAGGGGTGATTTTGTGAAAAGAAATTATAATTGTTATTATGTAATAGTTTTAAAAAGAAAAACCACATGGAAAAATAGAGTCTAGATTCCTTTGTCACCAAATTTAAAGGGTTGAATAAACATTAAAAATCAGAAGAAAATTCAAAATTCAAGTTTAAACTCTAAAATGAGCCACATTGTCTTAATCAACGAAGAAATTTCCAGCAAGTATTTTTACACAAAAACTGATACTTAATAAAAGAGCAAATATGGTTTTAAATTCAAATAAAAGTTTCGCCAGATTAAATTACTTCAATCTTACTTAAGTTATCAAAAAATTACTTTTGCATAAAATATCTGTTAAAAACAATTTAAAATATTCTTGAAATGAGACTTGACACATGTGGTAAACGTCCTCGGAATTATTTGCGAAATTTACAAATCAACTCATTTCCCATTAACGCGTTTTCGGCCCCAGCGTGTGCTGAAAATAAGTCGCTTCGCAAACGGAACTTGACAGCGTTTGGCGCCGCCAATATCGTCAAATCGGGCAAATGTACACGAGGGGGCCAGAGCAGCACTTGGCACGAAATCAATTTGCAAAATTCGCTCGAGAGTCGATAGGACGAGTGCATTATTTTGGACGGAGCTAAGAGGGGTTTTTTATTTCGGTGGAAATAGTGTGAAAATTGAGCAAGTCTGCCGAGAGTGAGGAGAGGGAAAAGCTGCAGAAATTTGGCAAGCGCGAGAGAGTATCGTAGTGCGGCGCTTGAATAATGAATGAGGCCTGGGTCACCTTCACTCTAGTTGTTGTTATCTCGATGCGGCGCGCGGTCCATACATATTTTCCATCGTCACGCGATCCCAACGATCGATGGTCCTCGTGCGTGAGGAACTCAAAATTAATGAATTCAAAATATAAAAAAACAACCTTTGTTTGTATTATTTCCCTCAGTGGGCGGCCCAACACGGAGGTCTATTTTTATAAAGATCCATTTGCGGGTTTATTTTTTCCGGAGAATAATGAAAATCAATGGGGGTTTTTTGTTTGACACCGAAAATATTTTATTCTCATGATAATGATTTTCAGCGTGTGTGTGTGTTGTCGTGTTATTATTTATTTATATAAGATATATAAGAAGCAGCAGCAAAAATGGCAGGAACCTCTTTACAAAAATCATTTCGCAGCACAACTGTTTTTTTTTTATGTTTTTTAATAGTAGATTCTCCCGCAATTAATATTGTTCTCTCTCTTCATTTCACTCGAAACGTTTCGCAGATTCTCCGACGAGGTTGCCTCTTTTTTTGTGTAATAATTTGTACAAATAAGAAAGTCGTTAAGAAAGAGTCGTTATGTACAGAATACTGTTTAACCATTTTTATTTATTTCCAAGCGGTTTTTTTGTCTGTACAAATAACAATTACGTCGTAGTAGTAAAGCTAGAAAATATATAGACGGAACTTCCGCAGATAAAATGCACACACAGTCGCAGTAGTTGAATTAATTTTTGTTGAGTAGTGAAAATTCTTTCAATTTTCATCTGTACTTTTGCCGATCGACACTCGAACATACAAAACGCGTGTGCGAAAATTAATGGCACCAAAACAAAATAATGGCAAGGTGACGTGAGTGAGTGTGACAGACAATTAATTATATTTCAATGTACTTTTGATTGCCCAAGAAACAAAATTATTTTCGCAGCGCTTTTAATCCACTACTACAATTTCCTCGTTCAATTATATATTTCCTCCCGTGTTACATGCTAATGTCACTAATTAATTATCATACAATGCTTACTTAATTAATCAATTCTCTCAATGTTTTCTCTACGTAGGATTAAACACACCAGCGAGTTTCGGAGTTCCTTTCTAGGAGAGAGCTTCGAGGCCCCTCCTGGCATGACTAGCTTCAAAAAAGAGGGAAACGTCTCTTCTTTTGAAAAACTATATCTGATTCATTATTCTTTTGCGTACATATAAATATCTTAATTAAACTGCCCGGCGCATCCACCGATCGAGACGCGACGGCCTCGAAATAGCGGTACAATTAGTTAATTAATTATAATTTGTCATCAAATGTTCCATTATATTTACAACTCTTCCCTCTACAACAACCTCTTCCACTCTCATTCAGTCAGCAATGTAAAAACGCGACTTCCATCTCAAAAAGGCCTGGAAATTGCTCAGCTCGACAAAAACATTCGCACAAACTTACAACAAATCATCAATTCGACGAAATACATATAGAAAAGTCAGTCTATAAAACGTGTTTCACATGCTTGCATGACTGATTCATTAATAATTTTTTTTTTTCACTTCTTCACGAGGAAGGTGTTTGGCTTGGAAAAATTTAATTGCAACAATAATTCGTCCAGCATTTAAATTTAAACTGATTTTCACTTAATCACTATCGTCAACTTAGAAAGGGGTCAAAGTTTGTTTGTGTGTTTGTACCATGATGAAAATTAATTAGAAAGAGAAATCAGAGCATCTCGGGGGTGGGTTTGCGCCCCCCGACAATTAGTTTATACATTATTTTTTCTTCTTCCAATTTACAACGCCTTCCGCGGCGCCCTGCGAACAAGCAGGGGCCTCACGGAGACTTCCAACAACTTTAACGCCGCGCGGCAGACAACACTGTCCTGTACAATTCGACGAGCGAGCCTTTCTCTGCTATAACGTCCCCCGTCGGGACTAATTTACAAGTTTGATCCAACGAGTGCGGCCTGAGGCTTAAGACTCGCGCTCCTTCTTCACCTTGAAGTCGTCGTTGCCGAGGATGGTGGCAATCTCGCCCTGCATGAACGCCCAGGGCACGTTCGAGTTGGCCAAAGGACATTTCTCGCCACTCGGACAATACACCTGAAATACAAACAAAAATTGCTGTCAGACACATAAAAGAAATCGGAAGGTACATGTAAATAAATTGAAATTAAGAAAAAAAGGTGATATTTTCAGTAGAAACTTTTACTTTCACGTGTAAAAAATTACAAATATTTAGTGATTTCGGCAGTTTAAAAGTTAAATTTTGTTTTTTTAACATAGATAATATAAGGAGAACGATCAAAAATTAAATTAAAACAAACTAAAACTAATAAAAGGAAAGTCTGGGCTTATGGCATTAAATTAATTAGTTATTTTCCGACAAAAAGGATAAAAAAAGTGATCGCTACTTTCCATTTCTAATTTAAAATTTGTTCAGATCAATTTAATAATTTTTTTAAATTAATCAAATTTCTATTTAAAGAGTTTTCATTGGTATAAAAACGGGTGTAAATATTGATTAAAACTTAATTTGCAACTAAAATATAAAGATTAAATTTGTAGAGATTGACAAATTCTGACTGACCTCGGAACCGGCGCCCTGGCGCTTGATGCTGTCCCTGGAGCAGGGGAAGCAGAATTTGTGGTGCGGCTGAGAAGGGCACTGCACGAAGTGTGTGTCCTCGAGTCGCTCGTTGCAGATTGTGCACTTGAGGGTGGCCCCGCCGGCCGCGGTGGCGGCGGCGTCAGGTCCTGCGGGGGCGGCCGGCATGGCCTGTGCGTTGGGGTCGGTGGCCGCGTCGGCGGGAGTGGCGGTCGTGGAGCTCACGTGTCTCGAGCCAGAAGAGCGTCGCCCGCTAGAGGAACCCGCTGCAAATAGAAACACACAAGCGCTCCGGTCAGCAAACTTGATCTTCGAACGGGAAATAATCATAAAAAAGAAAGACTGCCAAGAAATCTTAAATCTTCGAAAAAGCTCGCATGGACGTGAATGAATTTAACAAATCTTTGTACAAAAAATGAGGATTGTAATATAAATTTTGAAAATAAATTATAAAATCCTTACTTTTTATATTTTACTTGGCGAAAGTTGGAAAATCGAGAATCTAAAAAAACAAAGAAGAAAAACAGGTGTGGCAACTGAGGTCTCCTCGCAAAGTGTGAAAACTCACCTGAAGAATTGGGCGAGTGCTGCGACCCTCTGGAGGCGGACCGCGGTCCCGTGGGGGGACTGGCGCCCGACCTGGGCGACCCTGGGGGCAGGTTGTCGGCCACGGACATGAGGGCGGCCATGGGCGACGGCCCGTTCTGGCCCTGCTGCTGCGGCTGGCCCGGGGCCTGCGGCTGCCCGGCCTGCTGCGCCTGTTGGGCCGACGCGGCCGCCGAAGCCCCGCTCGGGCCACCCTGAGCTGGTCCCTGAGGCGGCGAAGTGGTGCGGCCGCTCAACGGCGAACTCGCCACCGGCACTCCGGCAGGGTAGCCTAAAATTTGAAAAATTGACCTAATTAAAAAATACCATTCTTTGGGGATTTTATTTAAAGTTAATTTCAAAATCGTTTCATTTATTCTTCTCTAAACATTGCTTTATTTGTAATTCAATTTAGTAAAGCATAATTAATTAGGATAATATATAAAAATAATTCATTAAAAAAAAATTGAAATATATTCAGGAGTCGAATTTTTCATTTTCTTTTGGGAAATAAGTTAAAAATTCACTGTTCTTTCCGGTTCTTTCTAAAAAAATCAAAATCAGTCAGCATTTCTTTTTTCTTTTTCTATTTTAATCAGGAATTTCAGTCCGATTTATTTTCCTTTTTTCTTTCTTCAAACGGTACATATTATTAGCGTTTGACAGTTTCTAGGAGGGCCTGGCACGCTCGCTGTTTACACACGCGTTCGTTCGAGTTATCGGCGCGTTGCCTAGTTCTAAAACGGTTTGGTCAATTTATTTCGGTGGCCGCCAGCGTGACGTCACCGAGAGTAGCTCTCTTTCTCTCTCCAAGTCAAATATATATTCATAAAAAAAACCTCGGTAATATATTATCCTTGGAAGGAAAGTCCGAGCGAGTCTCGTGCTTTTTCTTCTCAAAGGCACCAAACAACAAACTGCGCTTCGAGAATAACCAGCAAGACTGGTTTTGCCAGAATCGCGCGCGGCACATTTTCATTTTAAATTAATCCAAGGGGCGAGTGAGCGAGCGAAGGAGCTGGTTCGGTTTCTTTCCCGTCCGACGACGACAAATAATAAAAGCACTGCTTTTTGCATCGCCCCAGAAAACTTCGTCGCGCCGCTGCCTCTGCATAATAAATCTTTTGTCGCGAGCAAGACTCTCTTTCTCTCTCTCTGTACCCGACAATAAACAGGATGTTGGCGTTTTCGGAAGAAAAAAAATATAGAGGGGTCCAGACCAGATTTCTTCCGAGAAAAAAGGCCGACTTTCTTTCTTCCGCCGAATATAAATTGTAGGTTGCCGATAAACAGGAAGCGAAGAGTTTATTTTCACAGGCTTCTGTGGGGTGGGAGGGGCGGAGGGGTGTCTTTTTCTCTCTAGAACGGAATTTGAAAGGAACTACTACTTTATAAAAAAATGGAAAGGTGCGCCGGCTGGTCCTTTTTTTGTGTTGCTCGCCCTAATGACCGAACAAAACGGAATCCAGCGAGCATAGAAAGTATGCACACAGGTGCCTGCCGTAATGCAGCTGTTGTTTATGGCGGCGGCGGCGATTTGGCAACACAGGCCGCACGTTGACGTCACAAGCCGTCCGACAGCATTCCCAGGCGGCTGTGATTATTTTACACGCACAGACTGCACGTTTATGTTGGAAGGAAGAAGGGAACAATGAAACTGCCACAGGCGGATTTTATTATTTCCATTTTTTTTTTTTTTTTGAGTTGGAGCGACAATGATCGTTATATGGAAGAAAATGAAAAGTCAAGGCAGGACTCGATCTTGGACGAGCGCCAATTAAATGTTGCTGTCGAGCGGATAATTACTTTTTGATCCCGAAACGAGATTGGCTTACAAATAATTAAACGAGTGTGGTGAATTTAAATATCCACTACGTAAAATCAAAGATCAAACGAACTAATGGGGGGTTTAGCGCGTAATTAAGTTTAAATAAAAATAATTTCAACCGGTCGCCTTTGATTGTGATTGAATTGTAAACAGACCTATGAGGAAATCTACTTTTAGAAATCATCAAAGCCTAATTCTACCTGAATTCGTCTAACTTAAATGACTTAAGCCGTTCAGCGTTCGGAAGAGTCAAAAAAATATACAACAATTTTAATAAAATTGTAAAACTTCTAATTGAATAATGGTAGCTTAATTATTATTCCTATAAAATTCTCCTTAGCAATCTTAAACATTTCCTGATTTTCGCGTGATAACTTGCGCAAAAAAACTCCCCTAGTATACGCGATTTTCCTAGAACCCATTCCATTCAGCTTTTTCCCTCCAACAGCACAAAGGCGCCATTATTGGATTGGCGCTCCTTATCCGGCGGCTAAATGAACGCGCATAGAAAAGACGTGCGTGGAATGACAAAAAAAGGCTGAATGCATGAATAATTACAAAGATGGAATGTTTGAAACACAAACACACATAATGGTCGGAGGGACGGCGCGGCAACGCCGCACTCGAATTTTATCTCTCGCTCGCTCCTCCGTGGTATGAGAAAGAGGAGGCGCGGGGGCAGGGTGACGTCACATCTGGGCTGCGTGCCAACATCATCGCGGCGAGCGCGGAGGGGGTGGAGGGGGAGCGCGTTCGCCGGAGGGGGTTATTATTATTATACGCGGAGGGAGGAAGTACGTCGTTGGGCTGCCGCGCCGTCATGCGCGTTCTCCGGTATGTTGACTGGCTGCGGCCGCCGCCGCCGCCGCGAGCGAATATGCCAACACGGGCCAACGTAAGCCGGCCAGCGGGAGAGAGAAAGAGAGAGAGAGGCGCTTATACGATCAATAACATTATCAGCGGAGGAGGAGAAACGCCGCCGCCGCTATGGCCTCCTCTGTGACGTCACGCGCGCGATACGGACCGAGACACAACCGCGGCTCTTTCTCTCTCTCTCACACACACACAAATACATATATAAACCATTTATATACGCAGCAGCAGCAGCGGTGCATTGCGAAATATGTGTGTATAAATGACTGACGGATTATTATGTCATCTGCGGCTTGTCTGAGAGAAAGAGCTTTTTTGTTCGGCGTGGGTGCCTGAAGGGGTAGAAAAAAGTCATTAAAAAATGAATCCAATAAAAACTTTAAAACGGATTTTCGAATAATTAAATCTTTACACTGGCGCTGAAGAGGAAATGGCTTATTTTTTACTATTCTTAACCCTTACGCATTCAGAGCATTCGAATGGCCCGTTTTCCTTTTCAGAGCCTCTAATGGGGAAATAATGGCGATCCTGCAAAGGGGTGGATTTCTCGCTTTTACTTTTTCCTATAAATGGAACGTTTTCCGCTCTCATTGAACAGGAAACGCGATTTCTATTAAACCTTTTGAGGGTGAAAACTGTTTTTTTTTCTTCTTTGAAGGATAAAAGAAAAAAGCAGGCTGACTGACTCACCGTGGGAAAGAACAGGAATAATTTTAATTTGAAAATCAATTCTGTTATTTGGAGAAAAAAATTGTAATTTTTCGAGAAAACTAATTTGAACTTACCGGTTTTGAAGGAGGTGGCCGTGTCGAAGGACGGCGCCCTGACAGGGTGTTTTTCCTGCTTGTAGGAGCGTTCGATGTAGGGCACGGCGAGGCTGACGGCGGGTAAGGATTCGCCCCTCTGCAGGGGTGGCCGCTGCTGGTGCTGCTCCTCGACCAGCAACCTTTTGTGCACCGGGCCCATGACCTCTGCGCCGTTGTGGTGGTGATCCTCGTCGTCGGCCGGCGGCCGTTTGACGGCCGTCGGCTGCCGGCCGCCGTTCATGGGCTGTTGTTGTTGTTGTTGCTGCTGCTGTTGTTGCTGCATGTGGGCTGCGGCGGCCGCGGCGGCCACGGCCGCCGACATGTGTGCCTGCGTGGGCAGCCTGACCTGGGCCGCGATGCCGACGCGGCCGGCGGCCTCGTGCTCGGAGCGCGGGGGCGGCAACGAGGGGCCGCCGGGGTAGTCGGCGGCCGAGCGGCCACGCTCGTGGTGCAGCTGGGCATAGGCGTGGGGCGGCGGCCGCGCCATCCCGTGCGGAGGCGGGTTCAGCATCTGCACGGGCTGCTCCATGACGCCGTTGGCCGCCTCGTGGCGGTGTTTGGCCGCCTGTCTCTCGGAGGCGGCGTGCGAGAGGGCCGGGCCGGCCGAGGCCGACGGCTGGGGCCGGATCTCGCGGCCAGCGGCCGCCTGTTCCTGGAAGCCGTGGGCCCTCTTCATCTGGCGCGCCGTGTCCAGGACGATTTCGATGCGGTCGGCGCCCTCGTAGTTGACGCAGCCGCGACAAACGGCCTCGCTGAAGTCGTGCAACATGGCCCACGGCATCCGCGGCAGGTCGCACAGGTAGCAGTGCTGTCGTTTGCCCATCACGGACATCTTGGCCGCCGTCTGCCTCTGCACTAACCTCGTCTTCGCCTGAATTTTTTTTTTTTTTGGTTGATAATGAATTTGCAAATCCTAGTTTTCGCCACTCACACAACTTTTCTACTTCCGCATGTCACGAGCACACTGCAGATTCGGACACTTTTTTTTCTTCCTGACTTTTTGCCTTCGACGGAGCGGACGCTGCTGGTATTGACTCGGCGACACTCCGACTGCAAAGAATCGCTGCGCCGAGGCGCCGAGCGGCCGCGGCTTGAAAAGTGGCGCTGCCGGCGCGCAGACACACGGTCAACCTTGTTGAGTGGAGCGGGTTTTGCTGCTTGCGCGGTGTGTGTGAATTTCCCAGGCCGCGGCGAGAAGAGCGAGACTCACTCTCTGCTCCACTGCGTTACTATCCCAGTGATGCGAATAGCAGAACAACAAAAAACTAAACTTGCTAACCGGACAGGCAAAAGCAGAACGCGATGACATCCTCTGTAAAATTTGCAGTGGTCAAAACTTGTGGATGTTAAAGATGACGAGGGGTTAATTGTCATAATTAAAAGGCTTATTTTTATATCGACGAAATTATTTTTTTCTTAAATTAATTAAATATGCTATTTTATAAATTTTAATTTTAATATAACAAAATATGCTTGAGTAATTGTCAGTAATTGTAATGTTTTGATTATTGTTTAATAAAAATTAATTTTTATTTCTTCTGCAGCAAACGGGTTCTATTCGAACATTTTGAGCATAAAAATTAATTTGCAATAAATTTAGAATTTTTCAGTTAAATCGCTTTTGTATTTACAAAATATTCGGAGAATTGGAAATAATTTAATTATTACTCATACGACTAACTTAACAAGTGCATAAAAAGGTATAATTCAGTTTTTTTTCTTTTAATAAATTATAAAAAACTTATGTTTAATTTAAATTCGTGTGGAACATTCCGGATCACTTTACATACATAATCAAACTTGAATGATTTTTTTGCAAATTTAAATTGAGGGTAAATAATTTCGCACGTGTCGTCGAGGCGCGAAATCGATACGGCTCTCGAAAATCAACCAGCGAGTGTGCACGTTTGGAGAGCAACGTCGGTCGCCTCGTTATATTGATTTGTTATTGATATTTTTGAGGAAGGTCGCGTTGAATAAAAGAAACGAGAGCAACACACTCTTGCAAAGTGTGCGTGCATTTATTAAAATGCAACGCTGACTTAATCAAGCGCTCTATGCATAAATTATAAATAGATATTATTATAACTAGAGGTGCAACTGGATCTGCTGCTTGTAATTCACCTATGAGCGGTAAATCTATTATAAGTTATACATTTTTATCTTTGCATGGAATGGAAATAAATCTTTTATATAAATATCTTTCCACCGAGCCTGCAATCGGAGAGTCCGAGACGTTTTTCTTCGACGCAAACCGGCTTTGCAGAAGGACTTGATTTGTGACGTTTAAACATTTCAACATTAAATTAGCGGTAAAACGACCAGGACGAGTTCCACAAACACCAATCATGTGAGCCGCATTTATATTTTTGCATTTTTCCTTTTTTTTTCAGTACTTCTGGGAAAACGTAACTCGTCTTCGTTCCGACGAAAATTAACAACAAACTTGATAAATAAAAATAATCAATACTTGGGCGCGTGCACGGAATGCTAATCACGATTTTTGTTTTATACGTTTTTCGACAGGGGTCGGTCGGAGCAGGGAAATTTATTCCTCGTCACGGGCGCATTCAGCACCTTAAAATCTCATTGCATATTACGTGATCCTCTCAGCTCTCCGACGACAGCGAATTTAAAAGTCTGATGATGCTATTCGCTGCCAGTGCAGCTTATGAAAATTCAATCCGGCCTGCAAATTTCTCATGAATTTTATAAAATGGATAAATAAAAGCAGAGCACGTGATCGTTGCAAGAACAAAAAAATCTCGATTAGTCTTTAATGAAATTTTATAAATTTAAAATAAAATTAAAAAAAAATGTTATTTTTTTACAGTAATTCAAAAATCTTACCAAACACGTAAAAAAGGGGTTTTTGTTATCTTTATGAAACAATAAATTACTAAAAACAACTAATCAAGTAAAAGCTGAATTGAAAATCTAAATTCAAACATAAAATTTAGAATTATTTTTGAAAATATAACAGTATCTCATTCAAATAATTCAAACTTGTGTAATATGCAATTGATTTATTTTATTTACTTCTGGTGTCTCACAATCAGAATTGACATTGGAGTAAAGGCGGGGAAGTCCATTGAGGCAAACTTTTACACCTCGGAGCGTCACACTTGCTTCAGTGAAATCAGTTATGTTTTCCTGCTGGATAGGGGTGCCCTTTAAACGTACAATCGCGCGTTTTTTTCGTAAGTAAATAATGCACATAATAAATTTCTCTTTGAGAGTTAGCGGTAAAGTGTAAGTAGTGTTGGCTCGGCCGCTCCGCTGACGTCAGAGAATAGGTCACACTCGCAGGCACTTATGAAAGCGGCCGCATCAGCGTCAATATATAACATAAATGGAAACAGGCAAGTATACGTATCTCACACTTGGCGTAATTTCGCAAATTCTCTCACCCCGGAGACGATTATTTAAAAAAAGCAGCTCCGGTTTTTGAGAAACAAAGCAGGTTTGGATTTTTTTCGCGTCTCGAGAGGCCCTTATTCTTGTTTCGCGCGAATTCAACTTTCACAAGAGAGGTTCCTGCTTTGTTCAAATTTATTCAAGCCGGCGCGACGAGAACGGCAAAAGTGAAAATTCGCATTCACGCCGGGGAAGAATGGAAAGAACAGGGGTTAGTCTCTCTGAGAAATGAGAACAGATTTTTATTATACAAGAATAAGGAGTTGAATAAAAAAAGTTGTAAATTAAAATAAATATATAAAAAAATACGAGCCGGAGGCAAACCTGTTATTGGCGCAGGATTCTATTCGTGGCCGGTGGAACCAGTTTTAAAAAGATTGGTGCCCTTGGTGCGAACGGGTATAACAGCACAAAATCGCCGATGCAAAATTTGACCTCGGCGCAAATATTGGGTCTCGGCGCTCGGTGACGGGGGCACAGCTTGGTGCGCAAAATTCGCCCGCCGCCATGTATATACATTTATTATAAATGGATTGATTAATGGAGCGGACGCCACCAAGGACATGCATTTGGTCTCACTTTGTAAGGAAGAGTGCCGCCGACTTTTTGCCCAATATCTCGCAGGCGTAATAATGCATTTGGCCACACTCGGGGCTCTCAATCGACGCTGGCAGCTGGAAAATAATTGCCAGCCTTTCAATCAGCCAAAGTGAAGGCAGATGAAAACCTTAAAGAATTGGGACGTCTTTTGTTCTTTTTCCTAGAGATGATAAAACATATTTGATTTAAAACATCTGGATAATATTTGAAAGTCAAATTAAAATAGTTTCTGTTTGTTAATATTTATTCAGGATAAGAAAAATTTTTGTCTAAAAAAAAAATACGCCAAATTCATTATTTTTTTCTAAAGAATGGGAAGCAATTGTTTTGTTTTCAAAGCCAAAATGTCACAAAAAGCTTAAAATTTTTTTATTTTCCCCCCAAAAAAACTTAAATTTTCATGTTTCCATAAAATTATTTAAGAATTTAACCTTTCTCCCTTTATTTCAGTACATATTAAAAAAAAACTACCTGTAAATCAAATTAACAGTAAAATTAATTTTGATGCATAAAATTAAAAATAACTTTTAGGGAAAATTGTGTGACTTGAGCATGATGAAAATAAAAATGAACACTCTGGATACATATCTTGATTTCAAATAATAAAATACTTAAAAATCTTTTAGTTTAAAATATTTTTAAATATATTTCTTCAATATTAATGAAGATTTGCAAAAACAGAACATATTTTAGTAATAAAATGATAATTTTTTTGTGCAGTGTTTGTGGCACAATTTCAAAAAGCACAACAAAGAGGAAACGGATTTTGAACTTTGCATTCAACAAACAACACATTGTGCAATGTTGCTTCTGATGAAAATCGTCAACCGGCGACGACCTTTGGCAAGCCCAGAATGCGGGATTGTGATTTTTGTTTATTTTGGCGAGCGTTACGTCAGCGCCACTTTGGCTGCTGATGCCACTTTTTATCCAATGCTGGCGAATTCACCGCTGGGAGCGGTTTTGGTTTCGGTGTGAATGCACGCCCTCGCGGCTTCCCATCTAAAAATCGCTGGATTTCGCACATCACAGGGCAGTGTGTGTGTTATTTCCATTCGGTTGAGTCACCCTCTCCACGAGAGTTGCATGCTCAAATTTATCGTCGGTTGGCAACCTTGGATTTCTTTTTCGCCAAATCATTGCAAAATTCGGCTCGCTGGAATTATTTATGGACGCGGAACTTTTTTTGGCGCTTGTTTTTGCACAGGCTGCACCCATCGTGATGACGGTTGATTCTTAATATACTGAATAATTAATCAAATACATGATGGGTGGAAACGAGATGAAGATGAAAGGCATCCAATTCAGGCACGTGTCTCCAGTAAAATTAAAATATGATTTTTTTAAGCACTCAATTTTTATATTTTAAAATATTTTGAATAAATAAAATTGAAAATTATTTGACAAAAAAGTGGATACGTTTTACATGGGATTCACATTTATTTAAAAAGAGATTGAAAATTGAAATAACAATTGATTTAAATTAAAATTTTATTAGAGATAAAAATGAACTTTATGAAATTTTGAGAATTGTTTGTGAGTCAAGATCTTTATTCTTTCTATATTGTATTAAATGTTTTCCCTTTTTTTCAAATAAAATAGCAATAATAATAATAAATAATTATACTTCCATGCTACTAATTGCGTTTTACAGGGGCTTTTAACTGATTCCCAACAATAATTTTTTTTTGTATATTCCTTTTTTTTTAATTAAATCCAACTTTTGGTACATTAATAAATTGTTTTACTGAGATTTAATATTTTTTTTTTTTTTTTAATGAAATTCAGTAAAAAAACTAACGTAGCCTACTTTCAGTTAAAAATGGAAAATGAATCAATCTTTCAAATTGTGCAAAAACTCCTTTTCACAAGAGAAGATGCTTTGAACGAATTAATCTTCAAAGGGCCTCCAGTTTTAGGCTGGCAAACTTGAAAAGAGACAAGTTCCTTATATTTTATATTCTGGCGCGAGGCGAATCGTCTGGAAACCTTGTTATTCGCACTTAGGCAAGGCCCAAAGTGAAATATCCTCGGCGGCGCCAAGTGCAGGCTA